TTTTGTATTTTTATATTGTATGGGTGAAGTCACCGAATTACACAACATTTGGTCATGAAATGAGTTCGGACGGACCCTATCACGGTACGGTTAATTGCATATGGTTTCCGTACATTTAATGTTGGGTGGTTTGATTTCATTAAGTGTTTACTTGATATACCTAGGTATTGTTTTTCTAATGGGGCTGACATTTTATTCAATAACGATCCCCTAAATAAATAATGAGTCAAAAAAATAATTCAAAGAATTTCACAGTTCAATTTTATCTACACGCAACAATATGTTTGGTGAGTTTGACTGCTCCGATCACCTTAGAGGATGGAAAAATAATTGATCACAGACATATATCTGTGGTTCCGATAATTGTGACGCCAATTGATCTTGCTTGTTGGTGCTACGAACAGTTTTTTTTGTGAATATGTACTGAAGATGTATAGACTACGGGCGCGTTCCCAATATGTCGTGACGACAGATTGTCGTGCAGTTTCAAGTGTCGTAGCTTGTATATTTAAATGAATTTGTTCACATATAGAATAACATGATTAACTGTCGTTCACTACTTTTTTGACGTTATGACGACAGATTGTCGTGACAATGGAACGAGCTAGAACGACAGTTGTCTGACGATAAATAACGATGAAATAAAATGTGACGACAGTTAATCGCAGCTGTTGCATTCTGTTGTGCAAACGACAAGGCGGCTGCCGTGAACCGATAAATTGTCGTCACGATCTAATGGGACCAACTAGACAGTCGTTCAACGATAAAATAAACGTCCACGACAGATAGTCGTGATATGGGAACTGGCAAGCCCCGACAGTCGTCCAACGACAAATAAAACGTTACGACATAATGGAAACGCATCCTACCTGTGACAGGCAACGTGATATCAAGCGTGAAGGTGAAACAGACATTTAACTTGTTTTAAATAAACTTTATACCTAGGTATCTACTTTAAGTGTCCATGTTATTTTATTGTTCCATTACGGAAAACGTATGCTTTTCAGAATCATTATCTAAATTTGACAATGGATTACTTTTAGATTGGAGTAGGTATTTACTTACAAAATAATTATAATAAGTTGTGTTCATTTTAGATACACATTTTGATACCATTTTGAGGGTTTTGTGTGCTGAATATCCTTTTCCATCCATATAGAAACAAAACGGGGGGGTTGTTAAATTTTATACACAACAGTAAAAAAAGTTATTGTTTAAATGTGAAATACCTAGTCTTATAGCAAGTTGAAATTATGAGCTAAAAGCGGCGAAATTAAAAATAATAAAATACCTAAGTGCTTAATGCTTAGACTATGGAAATTATTTACGATCCTCATAGGTTTAATGCATAGATTTCGTTTTAATGTAACTTATTTAATAAGAATATCTATTACAAAGAAGTTATGTAGTTGCGTCACTACTAGAGACATGGTATGTACCTACATCCTATAATTTATCACATTTTATTTTGTAATAGGTATTTCTAGCGATATATTAGCTACTGGAATAGAGGTGGGTTGTGCTGATTTTTCTCAAGATTTCTTCCAAATTTTCGTTAAAAATGAGGTTGAGAATGTAATCATCGCTCAAATAAAATTTTCCTTGATAAGTCAAAAATTTCCATATTTCACGGTCGCATACGAGTCATTGTCAGGTTAGTGTTGTCTACTTAATTTCAGTGGCCATTTTTATTATTTAAGTATTTGAGTAGGTATATTATAGTGAAATATAAAATAATAGATATTGCATGATATTCTAGAATATTTAAAAAATAAAAACTGCCACCAAAATTAGGTAGAGAACACTGACCTGGAAATGACAAAACCAAGATGCAAAGACATCTTCGATAAAGAATCAGACGGTCGATTTTTTGGCTGCATGTTTTTCGAGCTGCACACAAAGACAAATTGATGTCCCAATAACCGAGTTGGATCGAGCAGCCCAAAGATAACGATTGAGTCCAACCACTTCACGGAAGTAGCGGCGCATTTTACAGTTTTTGATGTGCAGGAACGGTTCCTATTTAGCGTCAGTATCATATTCCCAAGAATGAAATCCAGTTCTCGACAAAAGTTGCTTAAACAAAAGTTGTCGTTGAAGCTACTTTAATCATATATAGATTAGTAGGATCCGAAATTGAGATTTTAACCTATTTTTGAATAACCCCTTTGTTTGGAAAGACGTCCTGTATTAAATATCACAGAAATAAGACACTATCAAAGCATACCTACTAATAAATAAATGAGAAATTCTTATCTAGAGAATCTGTACCGTAATAAGGAAAATTTTAAAACACAAAGAACACATTGGTTGTTTCCTTTGCATTACTCTGAAAAATATTTTTCTGTGACATGTATCTTTGTTGTTTAATATGAATTATAAGGCATACGACAACCGAAACATTCCGAGGATTTCAATACAATGCTCATCATCTATCAGCTATCTGAAGAACAAGAGATGAAACGTGATCTGCCACAAGGATCTTGCAAAGAACTATAGTTATGTGTGTATGAATATATTGTGTAAAAAGTTTAAATAAACTGGACGTGCCAATTTGTGTCGGTATTCTTACGATTATTTGGTGAAGTGGTACATTTCATTGCTGGCTGATTTTTTTGCAGCATTAGCTTTGGCGAATATTTTCGCCTTAATTATTTAGATGTTTTTTCGATTTTCTTTCATTTACAATTGCAATGTTGCAAATTGTTTAGGGTTCATTACTTTATTATAACTGAAATGTGATTACAAGACAGTATGATTGAGGCGACCTTTTAGAGACTTTTGTAAATACTTATATAATAAAAAAAAGTTTAAAATTACGATATATAATCAAAATTTGCGATCAACAATTTTTTAAATACGTAAGTAGAGTAAAAAGTTCCCGTGCTGCATTGACTTATTTGTACGTCAATGCCGTGCTGCAAAATTTTAGACGGAAACGTAGAAATAAATTAATGACATATTATGTATATGTATAGGTACATATATAAATTGTCGGGTAAAATTCATGGATGATTGTTGCAATTTAAAGCTTTGAGTGACACTGCAATTGTTATGGATACGCATGTCGCTTACCATTACCACCAGGCGCATGACTTGTTCGTCCCGTCACTTGGTATTATAAAAAAAGAGATTTAGGTCAGCGTAGTCTCGCCAGTTGTTACGCTTGTCCAATTAACACCACATCGAGGAAAAATGCTTCAGGAGAAAATTGAGCGTTGCATCACGGAAACACGCGAATCGTAAGTGATAAGTAACCGAAATAAAATTAACAATGATATCAGATAATGTATACACACAGATCTTTGCATTTTGTTAAGGAAATGAGCCGTTAACGCAATCAAAATTCAAACAGAACGTGAAACATGACAGTAAAATGGTTAGATAAATACCTATTACTGTGTAGTAAAGTATGAACAGATAAGATTTTCATGTAGAGGGACTCAGCATTACATCAATGATTTCGCCATAATAAAAACAAATTTTCTTTTTTACGTAAACTCGTGTGTGTCTCCTTAAACTTTTCTCGGGTTTCTCTCAGAGAAAAGTTTAAGGAGACTGGTATCATGACTGTTGCATCACAGTACATTTACTCAAATATTTTATATGCCCGTAAAAATATACACAATTTCAATAAGAAAGAAGATATCCATAATATTAACCTTACTACATTAAAAATATTTTGATTGAAAAGTCATTACAAAATTGAAGACTACGTGTTAGATAAAGGTGTATGGAAAGACAACATGGCTCCAGAATTCACACAAATTTGATTCAAAGAGTATTTATTTGAAAAGAGCAATTCCTAAAGTTTCTTGCTCGTTCTTCTCATGGAAGTCAGCGTAATGAACGAACAGTAGCTTAAATGGGACGTTTTCAAGTGTAAATTTATTTTACACATGGAATAAACGATTCTTTGACTTTGACTTTGAGTTCGACGAAATCATAATACAAATACACTACATCAAGGAGACTTTGAAATATAATCTCGTAGTTTGCACGCAGTTCGTTGGCACTCTTGGCTATAAAACACGATAGAAACTACGGCGTCGGTGCGTCGAAAGGGTAAAAGGGTGTAAGAAATGGATTGCTGTATCGGCGGTTAGACGGGATGAGTGGTCCGCTACAAAGGACCGGTCGGCCGATGCCCTCGCATTGCTAAACTTCCTCCGTTTTAGTCTGGCTCGCGTATATTTTAGGTATTAGACAAATTAATAATTTAACTCTCATCGCTCATTGTCATTTGGATGTTTATTATATTTGCAAGCTAATTTTATCTATCATTTCCTCGACATGTGTGATTGATTGACATGTAAGGTGACTTATCAGGACAGTATTTGATTGATGCCATTGACTTACCAATAAAATTCATGCCCGTTAATTAATTTGTTATTTTTTTAAGATTTTAAATTAATTTTCACGTTTTAGATAAATTTTCTATGGCGTCACTTTTTAACGTTCTTTGTCTACTCAGAGTTTTTAATACTTTACTCGGCGCTACGCAATGACCTAAGTTATGTCTCGTTTCTCTCGAGACAGTTAAAATTCATCATTGTCGAGTCACGTTCTGTATACAGACTGATTTACCGATTTACTGGTCACTCTTAGTCATCCTTTCAACGATTTCAGTATTGTTATTGTTTGGTGATCGTAAAATTGAAGATGCATGTGTTTGTATACATTGAAAATATGAAATTGTAAATCTAAATAAATTGGTGGATGTATCTCGATGAACGGTTAGGGTTTGCCGGGGTCTATGAACTCTGAAGAGCGGGATGGGTGTAAGAGCGTATTTAACGACAACAAAATAAAGCATCGGAGCACAGCTGTCCCGCCACAAGTGAGTAGTGAATCCTTGTCTATAATGGGGATGCGCGCAGGTATCTCTCTTTGTGTGCAAGTAACATTATTAAGAATTCGTTCGACCGTTAGGTTCAAATAAAACAGGTATTTAAATATTTGTGTCTGCAAATTGGAGAAGGTAGTGGAAGTAGACTCACCTATATGCGCGAGGTCGATGATGGGTACTTCGCAGCGCGAGAGCAAAGTCTCCTCCTGGGTGGCCGCCATCGTCTCTGGTTGTCTGGACTGCTCTGAATCACTTTCGAACGCGTACAGTCGACTGATTCCTTATCACTCAACTTCCACAGTAATTAGCAATTAGCGATCAAGACTTACGAACGATAATAAAGGAATACTATAGATAAGCACTAAAACAACGTATCGAACAACATACGTTAAAGTTTATTGAAGTTGTGAATGGTCTTTTGATTACCTCTAGTATAAAAACGTTCCGAACTCATTTGCATAACCTTATAATTCTTGCTCGTGGCTTTCTGCGATCTGACGTAGCAGCAATAAGCTATACTGACTTGACACATTAAAATTTGATTTTCGTTGCACTCTCACAGTAAGTTGTAGTAGGAAACGTAACTCCCGCGTGTGCGACCCGACGGCGTCGCGCGCCCCCCGTCCCTCACAGATGGCGAGTTTTGAATGTCTCTCGTGGAACAAACTGGCTCACCGTGCGCGATGAGCGTTACCCTGACGTTGGATGTCTGCTCTCACTTGTATATCATCGCGCAGACTTTCGCAACCGAATGGCGTGTCGAAACAGCTCTACCTTGAGCTCGACAGCGTGGTGAAAGCAGGGAGCGCGACCGAGTGTGCGGATGGCTCGGCGTTCCAAGTGAAACTGGCGCGCGCGACGCACCAAAGTTCACCACACCACAATCCACCGACTGACTCACGCGTGCGGCAGATAGCGCTCGCCGCTCACTTCGCGCCGTTGCATGCAAGTCCCCGACCCCCGTCAGACAGGCTCTTTTGGTGTCGCAACCACGGCTTGAACTCAATTAACTCTTCTTTTATAGAGACGACGTTTTATTAACTACACTAGTAAAACAAGGCCTGTTCTGTACTGTTTGTTTTCTATGCAACTTACAGCGCCCTCTCGACAAAAAAAATGTACTATATTATAAACTCTATACCTACGCCATCTATATGATATAATATACAAAGACGTACTTATACATCTATTTATCTTTTAATGTACCATTATGTAATTCAAAATGGTGTAGATAATGTTCTGCATTGTTGATGGGGATTTAAATTATTTTAGAGTTGTTTGTGAAATTAAACTACTATGTAATTTATTCAAATTCTTAAAAGTGAGATTGTTTTATTTATATTTATGTATAGAGGGTTGGTAGTTAATTTACAGTGAGTAGTATGCGATCACTTGAGGCAGCGCTCGAAGTAGGAGGAGCCAACGTAGCCGCCCCGCATGGCTCTCTGGACGTGTTGTTCAAAGAGCCGTCGGTTACTCTGGAGCTCGTCTGCCGCTTCTTTATTCAGTGGGTCCTCTGGGTTTGGTTCCTGTGAAAAAAAAACAATATCTAATAACCAAAAACTTTTAAAGACATGTGATGTAAATTTAAAAAAATGTAAAACAAAATTAGAAAGATTGCATGTATAACTGATTATAGAATATTGTTTCACTCCTGTAAGATGCTTAGTAGCATAGCTAGTACACTTTAAAAAACAGTAATTATTTAGTTCCATGCAAATAAATATGTGAACATAAACTACTGTTTTCGATATTAAGGATAATTGCTGAATATTACTGTAATTTTCATTTTATGGTAACTAAAGAAAATAATTTACGTCAATATACTTATTAACGTGAAACGCAATAATTTCGGTTTGCCATTCAGTTTTCAATTACAAATTGGTATATCGACTTCCTGTAGATCTGCAATACAAAAGTTTACGTTTTTATAGATGCTTTCACAACAAAATATTCGTTAAATGTATATAAAGTGTGAAAAGATCTAACCTAGTTTCACAAAGTGAACGTTAGTGTTTATTGTCCATTAAGGCGATGAGGTGCCCAAAATATTGCTCTTAAATATGGTGTTTTTGTGTAAGTTTTTTAGGCGATAACATAGCACGTGGAACTTTGAAAATGGTATATCTTGTAACACTTATCTTCAAGTGTAGCTTGAAATTCCTAGAATATTGCTTGTTGTCATAGGTAGTACAAAAACTGGATTACAGTGAGACTCTGGTGGTTATTTTTGACATATTTTTCTCGGGCAAACCAAACCTGCTTACTACCAAATTTGGTGTGGTTATTTAAATGGTACATATCTTGATCCTGACACTTTATTTGTTTTAAATAAAAGATAAGTAACAAATTTAGGAGTAAAAAGTAACTTTCGCCTACTAAAGTACGAGCAAAATATTTGCTTGCAAATTATGGACAGGCACTTAACAGTGTGAAAAAATATCATACACAAAAAAATACGTAAATAAGCAAATATAATGCACCAATTCGTTGAAATCAAAACAAAATATTTTAAAAATAATCAAATTTAGCCATTAGGTGAGAATAAAAAAAATATAATATATTTGGTTGGATTAGAACCTAAAACACAAAGTATTCAAAACAAAAATGAAATTATTGTTTGCGTCCTTGATTATTTAGTAAAATTGCAACGTTGAAAACTTCTGCTGCGTAGCTTGCGTTTGTGGGATACGTGGCCCAGACCTCTGTTTTGATATAGTTTTGACAAATTAATTTATTTTGTATTGTAATCGGCTGTCTACCGTCGAGCACGATACTTACGAGATATGTAGTTGGACATAGTTATGCAAACTATAACCAACCACAAAATGTCACTTTCGACATAATTAGATTTTTGTAAAAACAGTGTGAAGAAATAAATAGGTAAGTTGTTTGAGACTAGAGATACGCCGAGTACTCGTTTGCTACTCGGTACTCGGTGTACTCGGCCGAATAACTCGGTTCATGAGAAGAGTACTCGGTTAAAATAAAGCATCACAGCTATAGACATAATAAAGTAAAATCACCGATATATTTAAAATATCCAAAAGAGATTTATTACTAGATATTGTAGACAATTGTAATCATTTCTAGCAATTTAGTAATTTAAAACGAAAGTTTACATTATTAATATTTAAAATTTAACAAAGGCAAGTTATGATGTGGGAATATTTACAAGGCATTCTGTGCGTTCAGGCACATTACCCGCTTCTGCAAATACCCGCTCGCTATACACAGTGCTTGCAGGTAGGTGCACATAAAAACACTCGTGCTAACTGTGCCAGTTTTGGATATTTTGTTTTATGCTCTGCCCACCATTGGAAAGGACTCTGCTCTCGCGACAATAAACTTTCATTGATATATCGGCCTAATTCTAGAGCAACGGGGGCTATTAGGATCATCGCGTTCCGGTCGTAATGAACCGAGTAACTCGGCCGAGTACTCGGCTCGGCAAATGTTAAACCGAGTAATATTCGGTACTCGGTTAGTCAGTAAAACTTGTACTCAGCGCATCTCTATTTGCGACAAACGATATACTGTAGCAGTGAGAACGATATAGGGAAACTATTATATTATATAGCAATAAATAGAAAACATTATGTATCTTTTTATTTAGTTAACGAGAACCATGTTCTAGTTTTCGTAATGAAAACGCCAAAGATCTACAGTACTTCAGTACATGTGACATGGATCCGTTTAGCATATTTAAAAAAAGACATTATATGAAGTTAAGCAGCAAGGTTCTTTTTAGCTATTAAAAAGTTACTTATTTAGGGTTGGTACCCTGAACGACTTTTATTTTCTCCGTTTTGGCTTGGTATGTTGCCAGGATCTTTTGTGAGCGGGTAAAGAACAAGTCTGGTGTCCTACCTAAATACATAACTCAATTTCACTCGAGGTGTGGGTTGTTTGTTGTTTGCACAACATGTCCAGTTCTTATATGCTTTGATATTTTTTGGTTTGATAGCATGTGTGTATTTTAAGTACAACGCCATCTGTTAGCGGCAATCAATATTATGCTATATTAAGCGGAAGGTCCAACTACCACACTCTTACCGCATCGGGGCGTATGGCGCCACCTTATTGAAGAAATTATAGTATGCGCGTTATCGCTCAAGGTCATCAACGCAAGGTCATTGACGCTTGTCAGCGTCTTAATGACATAACTAATACTAAAAATCTATAGTAGTTAATGGTTGACCTACTGTCTTTCAAGCAGAGGTAGAGATTTGATTTGAGTTTCCCGGAATTTACGAGTATGTCCGAAATTAATTTTGGAATTTATCATGAGCTTCTCGGTAAAGGAAAATATTGTGGTGAAACCTGCACGTCGAAATAGGTTCACAACTCTCGGAAACCGTGCGATGTCCACAACCCGCATTGGGCCAGCGTGGCGGACTATGGCACACCTAAGCTACAGAATGTCAAATGAACAAATACGTTGCACAATCAATAATCTGCAATAATTATAATGCTGATACTGTTCAGGTTTCCACTAATTGTTTTTCCAATTCATGTGAATATTATAACTAAAAAATGTCTCAATTGCATTGCCTGTAGATTTAAATTCCCATGGGTGAAGCTTATTTTATTTACTTATTTATATTATTCTCCCATGGGTGTGATATACAAGATATCTCTTTCTCATGAAAGAGTATGATGTAGGACGTCTGTTAAATAATAATAATAACGCTCACACTCAACATAGCCCCGCACAGATGTCATAAAAAACCATAATCCAGTTTTAAAATATTGCAACTGATAGATGATATTTTAGAAATATATAATTACAGCAATATCTGATATATCGGACATGTTAACAAACTTTTACAGTTACATAACAACAACAACAACAACAGTTAACTTTTTAACTGTTTTTAAATAGACAATTTTGAGCCTTGTCTTATGCAATTAATTTAAAACAGATATTAGACCACTTGTGACTTAACTGCGTTTTAGTGGACCCAGTACTATAGTTTTACATTACAGCTAATCTTATCAAGTAGATACAAACAACCCAGCAACAAAATGGTTGAATTGCTGTCCAATAATTGGACTAGAGAATGGAAAGCAAACGAGATTCTTTGTTTGAGGGAATGTCAAAAATGACCCCTGTACACTGATAAGTAAGAATTATTTTATATACTTAGTAATTATTACCAACAGGGCGGTGACTCTGCCTCTCAATTTGAACACGCTACTTATATTTTATATTCCCCTATATATCAACAAAAAGCACCAGCCTAATGAGTGAACTTACCAAGAATAAATACTGTAGCCCATACACTATAGAGTTGACAGTGAGTACTGGTTTCCAGTCTTCTCTGAGTATGTTCAAGCATACATTGCCTTCCAGGTCTATGTTGGGATGGTATACAGCTGTTTCACATTTTACCTTGGGTGGCTCATGAGGATAGTTTGGTCCTACCTGAAAGTTTAACACGTTTCACTTATTCTAGTAGGACAGGTATGATATATATGTTGAAACATCTGCTTACAGTATGATGTACATAGAGACGAAAATAAAAGGTAAAAAAATTGTGGAGTTTCCTTCTATCCAATTAGACTTCTTTGTGTGAGAGAAGTACACCCCAAATGCACATCTGATTGTTGTAAAAAGCAGAGCTGACCTGTCTCCAGGTAGCTCTACCTGGAGATAGGTGGTAGTGTTGTTATATTCATTGACCATGGTAAATATTTTTTTCTAGAGTAGATCCAGAAGAGATTGGGCTTCCAAAATAACTGGTAGGCATTTTTAACAGTTTTTATAATGTGTGCCCTAGGCTTCTTTTGTCCTAGGCTGTGTGCTTACCCTTACCCCTACATGATTACAGTAATGTTTGTTAATATTCAATTGTGGCTTTCTGAGACCACCAACTCTAATAACCACCAATATTGAATAAGTACACATCCAGGATATGATGTTATAGGTACAAAGAAGAAAACAAAAACATTTTAGGGTTAAACTAAATAAAGAGGTGATTGCTAACATTATGACAGGTTGAAGTTGAAATAGTCACAAGTTATCAAAACAGAATATAAGAACAATAATATGTGGATTGGTACAGATATTGATCCTCAGATGTATTTGAACTAGTCACAAATGAATGTATTTATATGTTATGATAAATAACAACAATAATCCATTATATAGCATTTAAATTACTTGTGTGGTCACCTTATATCACATAAAGAAACAGAAAGTTTCTATACAGGTATAACACTGATATTTGTGTATGAAAATACCATGTGTACCAAGTTATACATTATTTCCAATTTATAACACAGCCATGTATGTACACAAGTATCAAAGCCACTATGTGTTAATTGCCAGATAGTCTTCAACATTCTGTACTCTCTTCATAAGGTAAAGAAGGCTATAGATAGGTATTTCAGGTTTGAGTTAAGTGATACTTGATATGTTTACCTTAAAACTAAATACAAATCTCCCTCCTCTATAGAAACCTTCATCAGGACATATGATTAATTTGAAATTAAGAAGATCGTCAGGGTCTGGGAATTCTGTACTGCAAGTTTTTGGCAGGTTCAGTTCATTCAAATCTGGAATTTAAAAAAATATAAATGAAGCTATTCGGCATAACGTAAGGGACCTAGACCAGAACAGTGTAATTAAAAAAAAGGGATAAGCACCGATAGCAACATCGATGATTTTACAGTTATTTAGACATTTACCAACACGGTGATAAGTATTTTGAAAAGAGAAATGACGAACATCGCTTTTACACGTACCTTTTGTAATCCGCAATTGCGCCGCTGACGCTTTCTTTTGTGATCCCCCAGCTCTCGGCGTACCTTCTTCATCTTTCTTTTGTTGTTTTAAAGAAAATAGTTTTATCATTGTCCTAATCTAATCGATAGAAATATGAATTAACTATGATTTTTATATGAAGAAAATTACAATTTATTTTGACAGCTGTTTTTTTAATTCATAGTTGTCGAGACTGTGTGACCCATTCCTGATTTTAAAAATATACGTTATAATAATTATTTGCTTAACAAGAATTTATGTAAAATTTGTATGAGAAAATGTGACAAAAATTAAAAATTAATATTATTTCTCAAGTCACGTGGTTATATGATATATGTATATAGCGATTAAATTAAAGATATCAATAGAAATGAAATCATATACAGCCGAAAACTGCAACATTCTAAGTAGATTATTTTATATTGCAACATCTACTTAGTGTTGTAATTTCATATTTAAATAATCTTTGTAATGTCGATTATGATTACTTTCGATCAAATTATCCGTAAATAATTAATTTTGTTATATTTTCTGTTGGATTTTATTTATCTTTGAATAGTCATAAGTGCTTATGCTGCCAATGCATTAAATTGAAAATTTGAATATATCACAATGCCTATTCAAAATGGCTGTCTCCGATCGATTTTTGTTTTAGATAAAAGATTAATCTTTCTTGAATTAAAAGATCGATTTTTAAAACGAAAGATCGCTATGTTGGAAAACTAAAATCGATATTTTTTACTATATGTAATCACCTTATTTTTTTTATTTTTTAGCGAGTCGATCAGGTTTGAACTTTTGAAATATTATTTCGATATCGATCGAGTGATAATTATAAGTAAAATAGACAATTATTGTAACATTTAATATCGATTTTTCTGATGTACTCCGATGCACGTATTCAAAAAAAGATTTACGGAGGTACCGTAAGATATCTTTGCAGTGTTACTAGTATCCATAATAGTTGATGGTTCATTTAATTTAGACATTTTTGTTTATCACCATTTTATTTCATGAAGTCATTATCGGCAATAGGCAACAGCAATTTGCATGTAAGTATATCTTAACTTACTTGATAGTTAAATGCAATAATGTTTATAACAACAAATTCGGGACAATCCGACTTTATTCTAAACTTATCGCATTTAACTATCAAGTAGTTGGTTTTTTCTTCGATTTATATAATAAAAAGTACTAAATAACGTTTAATAGTGTATGTGTGTGTATATTTTATCCAGTGTTTTAAAAGTGTTTTGTACATACATACATACATACATACAAACATTCCGTTTTACGATAAAAGATTTATAGATATGTTGAAAGATTGATATCGAAAATCGATTATTGAACGAATAATAATTGGTATGTCTCATCTCTATAATGTGAAGTTTGTGGTAAAAAATGCTAAACGTCCGCAGCGTTTTATGGTGAAAATACTGTTCTTAGAAACTGCACTGTATTTGCAATGAAATATTAAAGTCAAATAATACATATACTGTGACTATTATGCGCATAATTCCATAAAATTTTCTAAATTTCTTTATTTTGAGATTTCAATTTCATTGACTTACCATGGCCACGGAGGATGTAATAGAGTTGGGATCATCGGATGATGAGACTGAACCGGCACCGAAAAAGGTTTGTTGTCTCGTTGCACGATAATGATCTTGAGTTATGCATCAAAAACAGCAACTGAATTGTCCCAATGAACAATTTTTCATTTGTTTGCAGGTAAAAAACATTCCAACTAACGCCATGGTGCACATACCATCCAAGTTTCCTGAGTTAACGATTAAGCCCACAAAGGGGAAAGTTACTCCCGGTAGATCGGGAGATAAAAGTACGCAATCTAAGGTAACAGCATTAAGTAAAGCAACTTCATTGACTATGAGTAAAGTCAAAATTGTACCCACACTAGGTAAGCCAAGAACTACATCACCTATCAAAGTAAATGGCAGACCAATACAGAGACTAACAGGACCAGTAATACTGCCAATGTCATCTGGAAAGCTTGTGAGGAATCCATTACAATCGGCAATGCCTATTGTTCCTAAACACAAGGCACCTGGGAGCAGGATAATGGTGAATTCTCCTACGACTATAATGAATAAATTCAATAACTCTCAGTTAAAGATCAACAAGGTTCCAATTTCAGCAAATCCAAATAATTTAAAGTGTCCTATTAAAGTTCATGACCCGAGAACATTGAATAAGTTGCCTCCTGATATCACGATAGTCAAGACAGTGAGCTGTAAGCGTCCAATGCCAAGCAAACCCATGTTCGTCAGAAAGAAACAAAAGCAAAATATAAATAGTGCTTCAGCTACATTAGAAACAGTAGAATTAGATGATGATGATCTTACCCAAGCTTCCACTTCAAGTCCGCAGTGGTATTTGAGACCAGAAGAGCAAAATGAGGCTAATGATTCCAATGAACCTGAAAATTCATTAGAGAATAAAAACAATGCTGAACCAGAATGTTCATCCAAGATGATTGAGATAACTATAGAAGATAGCCCAATTAAGGTAATGCAGAATAAAAGAACCCATGAAGTTGGTGCTGAACTGGCTATTACTATTGATGACAGTCCCATTAAAACTGTGGCTGATAAAGATCCCTTAGGCAGCGATGGTGAAAGAACTGAGGGTGATAATCAAAAGACTCCACGAAGTAAGAAAAAGTTGAATTACCCGAAGGAAACTGGAGCCACATCTGACATTGCAACTATTGAGATAGAAATAGAGCCAATCGATTATCCTAAGCTCAATGCAAGCAACGTCAAAACAGTAAACTGTGGCATAAATGATACTATTGTGGAAATATTTGAATCACCTGCAAAACCTATACAGGAGCAGCAGGATTCTACACCAAAGAAAGATGAAAGCAAGAGACCTGAAATAACTTTGAAGCATGTGGAGTCTTTAGCCCAGACTTTGGAAGACGGAGAGTTCCATCCCATATACCAGAAGTTTATAGATCTCTGTTTTAAATTAGAAAACTCTGATGACATGAAAAAAATTGTTGAGAAAAAAATAAAGGCCTACTACAAGCAAGCTCCTCAAGTATACACTTCTTCAGAGGACTTCATTGACATGGTGTCAAGCAAAATAATCTCTATGCAAGCTAGTCCAGAGAAAATGTATTTGTACATTAAAGATATTGTAGATGAACTGAACTTACAAAGAAAAATGGCCAAAGGACAACTGTCTACAAAAGAAGCTACAAGTGCAGGTACTATTTAAACTTCTATTTAGAGTAAAGGGCTTACAGTTTGTATGTCCATAACTTATTTGTAATGGATTGATATGAATAGAAATCAATAAAGGCTTTTCTTATTTGTACTAGAAAGGAACAATAAAGGTATTTGTAATTTAAATATTGATAGATTAATGATCTACCAAGATTTTAATTCATTATTCAGGTGAAGACTGAGACTTTATCACCATAATGGAAAAATATTATACATATTATTATTACTTAATTTAGGGCATAAGTCTTACCTGTCCATCAATTTGTCAAGTCATTATTATATCAAGACTAGAAATTTTAAATAATGAATTAATTAAAAAATTTTCTACCTGTATTAATATCACTAATTTTGTATTTTATCTTTTATACCATCAGAAAAGTTCCAGTTTCCAGAGGATGGGGAGTTTGATGCCAAGCGGCAGAGGCAAATTCGAAAACTTGAGAAAACAATCAAGAAATTGCACAGAGCCATTCAGAAGCTCGAAGAGCAAGAAGTTGACTTTGATGATGAGGAAGATTCAGTCTATTTGCTCACAGAAAGGTAAGAGTTGTATTATCTGTATGTAATCTTAGACAATATTGGATCTTGTTTGCAACTAATATTGAAAGTTGGTGCTGACTGTGTGACCAGCTGGCTGAAGTGACTGTGTGTGAAAGGTAGTTTTTTACTATAGTACAGCTATCCCTGGTCATAGCTGTCTTGTGGCACTTTGTATGTAAGTAAGCATTAGATAAAAAAGCATTGCTGAAAAAGTTTTCATTTTTTATTAAAATTCAGTGACAATATAGGTAGGTAGTTTGAAAACGGTTTGGTTGTTATTGCCATAATAGTCCACTAATCAATGTATGAATAGTCATTGTCGTCGCTTTTTCTAGATTTAATTTATGGCCGTACATATTATAGAGCTATGTAACATAAAACCAATGTCAATAACACATTTTGTTTAACTTTAGCGATGAAGATGGTCCTTCGAAAAAAGATGTAGACAAGACACTTGTGAAAGACTGTAATGTGTTATTGCAAAGGTTGGTGAGATTTTTAATCTGTTTATGTTTCATTTTTATTTGCTCAAACAGTATATTTGCATTTGTTAGTCTGTTTATTACATCTGTGTGTGTGTGTGTGTCTGTTGATTCATTATTTTCTATTTCTCTATGACACACAGGTTTTTATTCAAATGTCATATTGTTTTATATATAGATATGTACTTCAGTACTTGAGAATTGGCTATTTATTATTTATCTCTCACCTCAATGCTTTGTTTGTCTAGTGCTCGGGAAGTATGAGTTCTATTTCTTGTAGCTTTATACAAAGATACAAGTTGCGACTCACTGATAGAAATAGAATGCGTACTTCCCGGTATGGTGGAGAAAAGAATTTATACCATTGTACACGGATAGGTTCTAAAGCAAAGGGAATAATACGAGATGACCTGAATGTGGAAAAGATAAAAGAATGATAAACGGCCTGCAAAAACCATGATATCGATCCAATGCCAAGTAAAAATAATTAAGTTTATTTTTTGGTCATCTCCGTTTTTATTTTGTTTTTTGATTTTTAAAAATTTTTTCACAAAATTCCTTTTACTTTTTTTCGAATTTAGTTATTTATGTTTTTTTTTTCAATGAATATGGTGAATTTAAAATGGTGGCCGAAGAAAAACGCACTTTTTATCCGGCTGAAATTTGTCATGCGAAGGTCTTTCAGGAGTCCTTTATCACAATTTGGGGCCAGAAGCTTTTTCGCCATTTTCATATAAGACCGCTTTAAAAGCGTTCGTTGGCGGCAGAATACAGGGTGTAAATTTGAGACGGGGCAGCAAGGCCATCTACCTTAATCGTTGTAGTTACAGGAAAACGGTTCGAGAAGACTATCCATGAATTTTGAAGATATTTTGATTGGCATTCACAGATTAAAAAAAAATGGTACAGTCAGCAAGATAAAAGGCAATTTGTACAAAACTTTTTTTATGCTTTTCGATCCGGTTCTGGTAAGGATCATTAGTCTCTATGGGACCAACTGTGAGGTAAAAGTACTCGAAATGTCAGAAATCGCAAAAAAACTTTTTACCATACATTTTGTATGGTAAAAAGTCTAGTCATATCTAGTCTTCAGTTATTCTAGGTAGTTAAGGAAATTAACAAATTGTATACGTATTATGTATTTCAAACTAAAAACAATAACGAAAAGCAAAATAACATAAAAAATCTATGATCGATTCGCTCTCTTCCGCAAAGAGCAAGTAGCGGCTGCAATTTTACTCCAATTAATTTGTTTCCACATTTGAGAACATTTTGATTAAAAATCGTATAAAAAGTGACAATTCTCTATTAATAAAACAAAGCTGTTCGAAATTAAAAAAATAATGTTATGATTATAATTTGTTTTTACTTAATACTTATTTGTAGACTAATTTGTTAGTTTTCTTAACTACCTAGATTAAACTGATTACTAAATATGTCTCTACAAAATGCATGGTAAAAAGTTTTTTGCGATTTCTGACATTTCGAGTACTCTTACCTTAGTTGGTCCCATAGAGACTATTATCCTTACCAGAGACTGGATCCAATAGCATAAAAAAAAGTTTTGTATAAATTGCCTTTTATCTTGCTGACTGTACCATTTTTTGAAAATCTGTAAATGCCAATCAAAATATCGTCAAAATTCATGGATAGTCTTCTAGAACCGTTTTCCTTTAACTACAACGATTAAGGTGGCTGGCCTTGCTGCCCCGTCTCAGATTTACGCCCTGTGTACATACACAGAGTTATTTTTAAATACAACCTCCCAGACCATTATTACCAACGTCATAAATAACAACTTTTGTTCCATGACTTTTAATAATTCATCAGTTTTTAATTTCATACAAAAATAATAAATTTAATAATTTTAGATTAATAATAAATTTTAATCGGTATCTCTTACCAACGGTTACTCTGTGTTAGCCATTGACCTTCAAGGTCAATGGTATTACCAAAATCAAGCCTAGCGTAAGTGAATAGCGGGGATGAGGGTGGTTCACCTAATGTACGTCACGATCAGTCGTTTCTGCGCCCGCGCGTAGCAAGTGCTTGTATCGATACTACACACGGAAATGTTGCGAATAGTTGCAAAGTGTGATGAATTATCATCACACCTTGCGTCCGAAACTTGCCTTGAATATGTAAGATGGTTCCCTAACGTAACTAAGCGTGTAAACAATGTTACAAAGTTACACAGATTGTAACACTGATTACGAGATCACGGGCAATTCCTGCCTAGATCCAGCGATTTTAGTCAAATTACATACGTATTACATACGAATTATTCTTATTTTATTTCCAAATGTAGCCAACCCTAGGCCTGGTTAATGTAAACTTAAACTTTTATCAAGTGAAAACAAAAATACAATTCATCAATATGAAGAAATGTGCTAGTTAGTACTTTGTTTTTATTTAGCTGCACTTAGTACTGTAAAAGATCATTTCGTATTAATAATCGGTAAATAAATTTAATTCCAATTGACGCGCGGGAATCGGTACTCCCTGCCGCTACTCGCCGCCGCGACCGGCGTATTATTATTATTATTTCGTATCAAATAAAGATAATAATAGTTTCAGATTTTACAAGAAAAACTTAAAGTTGATTATTGATAAATGTTTTGTGAAAAGTTATAGAACAAAAGTTGATGTTTATGATGTCAATAATATAGTCCTGCGTGGTTGTAAGTATTTTAAAAATAGCCCTGTGTACTATAAACAATAAACTTAATAAGGCGTAAATCAAAATGAAGTCGAAAATGTAAGCTTTTCGGAGAGGCATGAAGGCTCTCGATTTATGTACTCCCAAAAATAAAGTAGCAAGATGCAACGCACGAACAACTGACCTATATCTTAAAACAATTTAAAAACAATAAAGCCGTTAACTTTTAAGTAGTTTAGAAAAATACTGTATTTTAGGTACAAGGAAAGGATGATCCGAGTGCATGCTAAGTTTTGCCAGCTGACCAACACAAAGCTGCCTTCGGAACCTCGAGTTGTGATCGAAGCGCGTCCAGGTCAGCCCACAGGACCAGCAAAGCGGTTGGAAAAGTGGGTCAATAGAAAAGTTCCAATAGGAACACCTCTGCCATTCCCAGATTTCCATGATGTTCTTCGCTGCGTAAGAGAAGCAAATGAGGAAGATAAATTAGGATGGAATGAAGCTGATATTATGGAAGAAGGTAATTTTTTCATTGGTACTATTGTTCCATGAGATGCATATACGTAATTATGGTCCTGATCCTGAATATTAATATCTGATTATTTATTATTTGTTTTAGCTCGTGATTTATTCACTAGATGCGGGAAAAAATTACAAAGACGTAGACAGGAAAATGAATGGCGATTAGCAGTTTCTAGAATATCTGTGGACTTAGATCCCGCGGAACAGAATGCTGAACTACAGAAGAAGTTAGCAGAAAATAAACAAGTAGCAACCAAAAAAGAGACTGAAGTTTTTAACAAGTAAGTACTAGTTGATTTCTTTTACTTATTTTCCCGGCGCAGTCGCCTAAAGAGGACCTTGTCTTTTCACATTTAGATGTGTGGCACGTTTAATTCCTTAAGCTCGAAATTGTATTGACTGAAACAAAGAATTCAAAACTGCAATGCGTTAGTTAAAAACTTTCTGGCGTCCTTAAATTGATTTAATACCTTACCCGTTTACAGGTTTGCTGACAGACAAAGCCAGTTGAAATTAGAAGCGGAAGAGATTGGTGACAAGGAAGCCGAAGAATCTCCTGTAGACGACGAAGAAGAAGAGGAAACGAATGAAGAGAGTTTACAAGATAAAGAGAAAAGAAAAGAAAAAATTAAACAACTACTACAGATTAAAAAGAAAAAGGCGGAAGAAAAGGAGAACGAATCAAAGGAGACTGGTGAAAAACAAAGACACATTAAGGAATTTGTTCATGGAAATGAAAGCCAAATTAAAGAGACTGCAAAGGAAACCTCTGTAGATGGAAAATTGAAAGAAAATGAGAAATTTGACGCCGCGGCTAATGACGATGAGATTGAAATGAATAATGAACAATCTAAACTAATAGAAGGAGTGCATACAATAAGCGACGATAGTAGCAAAGTAGCATCGGAAGTGGATGAGTTAAATCTTTTACAAAAATTACATTCGGAAAACGAAATGAATACTTCCACCATAGAGTCCACTGATACAGATACTCCAATAGATATTTCCGATTCATTGACATCGGGTGACAACACAAAGAAGAATGCGACTGACGTGATAAGCATTGAAAACTCGAGTTATTCTGAGTCAGAAATTAACAAAGACGTAGATGATAATTACGTTAAAGAAATATTGCCTATAGATAATAATAATGTAGAAGAGGATATATTGCCAACAATAACCACTTCGATTGAATTAGGTGACTTAAACGTAGTTTCCGATGATCAAGCACGAAATTATGTCCCACAAACTAGTAATGACGAGTACAATGACTCTATTGGAAATATTCTCTTGGCTTCATCTGAAGATGAACTTGCTGATAAGGACGATAATGATTTAGGAAAGGAAGAAAGCAGTATGAATTTGCAGGATGATAATTTATCCGTAGGTGATACCGTTGTACAAGACGTCGCACTTAAAAATGCAGATGACCTGGAAAGTCAGTGTAATGAGACAAATGAAAATAATAATACAGAACAATTACCTCAAGAAGATAACAGTACTGTCAGTAGTTGTGGCGAAGATGTATTGGAAAAGCAAGGCAAACGTGATGGTGATGCAATAGGTGACACTATAGATATATTTTCGTCTTTTGACAAGAATAGCGAAGAATCTGTAACATCTGTTAAGAGTACTGATCAACTTGTAGAAGATGAAAATGAAATTATTCAGAAAGAGTATAATCCAGAAGAAGCTAAGATTAATGTTGTCACTGAAATAATATCAGATCCCGACAGCCTTGATAAGGTCAATGTGAGACAATCTTCTAATTATGATGTTCAAGCAGATATTGAAATGCTGGAGGCAGAAGACAATATAGTCAATAATATGAAGGATGTTAAAAATTCGGAATTAGCAGCAGTTGTCCCATCCAATAAAGAAGAAATAGAAATGGACGATACAGAACCTGTCATGGCTGAATCTATGGAAATTGTACATAATGACGTAGTTTTGGAAGACACAACTAAAGTAGGGAAATCTAACATTCCTAGTAATATTGCTGCGTCAGATTCAGTGTTAAAAAAAGACGACGCCAAAGTTTCTAATATTGAGAGAACTGAAGATAGCTTAGATGCTTTATTAGAAGAACTTAATTCAGATTTAAGTAATAATAAATAATTTATGTGTAAATATCGAATTATTAAATATTCGCGGTTGCTGTACATTGGAGAAAAAACTATTTTTCCGGATCTAAATCGTGTGTAGTTGTTTATTCAAACAATCACCGTTTCGGGCTTTTCACTGGTCACAGTTGATCGTAAAGTTAAAAAGTTGTTTGTAAAAACAAATACAGTGTATTTAGATCCGAGAAAATAGTTTGACGTCCGATTGTAATGGACTCGTATAAGTTTAATAACGTGTATAAATTGATAACGACATTCGTACATGATTTCTAATTAATAGCTGGTCTAAATGTTTATTGTTATTTTATAAAATCGAGCACGCATATTTATATCACAATTTGAATATTTGAAAGAAAACAATATATAATTAGAATATCTATTGTATTGGTTATTTCTGTATATGAAGTTAAACAACTGCCACCTCCAAAGTTACTCAAATATTGAAATGTTAATTTGAGACAAAAATAGGCGTGATGGTATGTGAAATGACATGTTATTGGTTAAAACTAACATTATTTAACTACGTTACAATCCCTAGTACGCTACGTTTCTTTAAGTTTTCTGTATATTTTCAACGTTTAAAGTGAGTAAAAACGCTTGTAGAAGTGGCGCAGTGGCGCGTCTGTGGCGCGACAGCCGGGCCTCTACCAATTTTCATACGATATCTGTAAGGCAGCACGACAGGGCGCGACTAACGCGAGAGTGACATAAAGCGCGAGATACTGCTATTCTCGCAGAGATCTCGCGTTTTATGCCGCTCTCGCGCAAGTTGCACCTTTGTCGTGCTAGTGCTTCTAGTTTATAAAAGTGGCAAGACTGTGGCGCTGCAGCTGCACTTCTAAATATTGTATGATGGAATTAGTAATGGCGCGGCTGCAGCGTCACTGTGGCGCCACTGCAGCGTTTCTACAAGTGTGTAATATAAGTTTATTCCGTTATTTTTATAAGTAATGGTTCATTGAAACATTGAGAGCGACATAAAGCACGAGATGACACGACTGCTATACTCTCAGATAATAGCAATATCTCGCGCGACGTAGAACGCTCTCGCGCAATTCGTGCCCTGTCGTGGTAACCCTACTTACTGGGTTGAGTAAATCTCAATTGGTAATCGGTGTAGTTTCCATTTTATCTCAAGAAATAATTGTCATACTCAGAATGGGTTAAGATTCCGTCATCGCAATGATTATGTATAATAAAAAATTACTCAAATAATGAATCGGCGTTAAATGTAAAAGGGCTATATTTTTGTACCCAAGGGTAGTTCAGTTTTGTCTTTGACGTTGCTGGAACGTGGAATTTGAAGTTAAAAGCGCTTTCATGGAACCTTAATGTTTTTTATATTTTCGATATTACATAGACTCGTTTATTCAGTTTGTGAAGTAGACGCCAAAACTTGAGAAACAAAAAACAAATAGTTATTCTGAGACATTTTGAGGCTTGAAAATTCCTGACTTCACTTTCCTATTAAGGTGTTTTTCACACAGAATCCTTTCTTTGAACACTGATATATGGAAAAAATATTTACAAATATTGCAGAAGAAGAGTTGTTTCTTTAATGTACATAATTAGACCCTCAAGTATTGACACCGATTTCATACACACCGTGTTGCAGTAGTATAGTGAGAAACGAGTTAACACATAAATGGTCACTTTTATTTTACTGCGAATTTGAACTCTGTACATACCACAAGGTTTTTTTATCAAAGATTTTTCACACATTGTGTATTTTGTGTGTACTTATTTTATAAATTCTTGTCAAAATATTTTTTATTTTTATGTCATTAATACTTGAAATTCTTTTTGACTTTTTCATAGTAAGTAACTACTATATAATAATTTGAAACGTGTGGAGTGCTGGTGAGTATTATGGTTTTTAATAAGATGTGGCTTGGCGTACGGAGGGATTTGTTTATGTACAGATAATTTGTATTTTAAGTTAGATCTCTATTTTTTAATAATTGCTATAGTAAGTGACCACTTGTATTATGGGCTAGTTTCGATTACCATAAGTCAACCCAACATTAATAGAATATTTGGCCAGTATCGACAATTTTTATCTTGGTGTGAAAAGAGAATTGAAATGTGTTGATAAATAAAATTGTTTTTGAATGGGAAAATAGGAGTTTGCAAGAGACGGCAATATTTTCGGTACGTAACGTATGGCGCTATATACGCTGCTTACTAATGGAGTATCCTTCTACTACTGACTTCAACCCTTAATGTCTTTAATTTATTGCTTTCTATCACGAAGGAATTTGAAAAATATTTTTTCTTCGTATTAATGTATAGATATGATCGATTAACAATTTGCTTTCTTGGTTCTCAATACTAGCCTGTACACTTACTAATATGTCGAAACACACACATTATTCTAATTGACGAATCATTAATAAATAGTATACTTTAAAACATAACGTCTACTAGTTTCATTCCTTATTAAAAATAAGAATGATCGATAATAATGGATTTCATATTAATAAAAAGGTAAGTTATATAAGTCACCACAATGTTTATTTACAATATTTACAAAGGTCCAGTCTTAAGTACATAATGTAAACCTATCCTTATTTACAGGGCATGCAAATGTTTTTCAAAAAGCATACATATTTTGCAAAGACCTAGGAGAAGCAAACAGGTCCTACGTTGAACGTGAACTGGTGTTCTGAGTCATAGAAGGTCAAAGGCTGGAAGTCGATGATAGGAAGTCTGTCAGTCTTGGACGTTTTGATTTCCAGTACTATTTCTCCGCTTCCCTCCTGTAAATATATCAATATGATTTATACATACATCATGATCACTATGTTTGGGCACGTTGTTGTTGGTGATGTATTGATTACTTGACTACAATGTTATTAACACAAGCGTTAATAACGTTAACTATGCGGACGATATGGTGTTGCTCAGCCCTTCAATCGGTGGTATAAGACGACGTATATGGGGCATTGTGAGCCCTATGATGTGCAACGGTTTAAAGTACAACGAGAAAAAGAGTGAGTTCTTGCTGTTTAAAATTAAACAACCAGCCTATGTACCACCAATACTTTTAAATGGGGTACCTTTGACGCGTGTTGCACAGTTTAGGTACTTGGGTCATATTGTTACAGAGGACCTAAAGGATGAGGGAGACATAGAGAGGGAGCGCAGGGCATTGTCGGTTCGAGGCAATATGTTGGCTCATAGATTCACAAGGTGTACGACTGGAGTCAAGCTCACTCTTTAGAGCATACTGCCAAAGTTTCTGCACATGTGCTCTATGGTCCAACTTTACGCTGAGATCGTACGGCGCCTTGCGAGTCCAGTATAATAATACCTTCAGGGCCTTGTTGAAGCTGCCCCGTTTCTGTAGCGCATCTGGCATGTTTGCGGGTGCTGGCATGGATGATTTCTATGCCATCATGCGCAAAATGTCCACTTCGTTAGTACGAAGGGTGAGGGGTAGCAACAACGAGATCCTGAAGATAGATAGCAGACAGGATGGATGCAGCTGTGTTCCGGAAGTTCACTGAGTTGCATGTTCTACGTGTGAGTCAGTGAACCATCTGGGTGGCTGGGTTCGTCTGTTTGTTATATTTGTAACTAATTATTAGGTATTATTTTTATGATTGAGTACTAATCCTAATACTAACATAGTTATAAGGTGTCATGTTACTAACTTACTAACTTGTATGGACTACATTGTCTGAAATAAATGATTTTTATTTTTATTTTATTTATACAACATTTGTCCGGAAATGCTTGAAACATTTACTCGAAGATATGCTTTCGAAGTGAGATTAAATGTCTATCAATAAAACGTACAGTCTAGTGAAATTTATTGCATTGTAAAGGTTAACTGTTAAATGGTCAACGTTCGACTGTATATTAGTGAAGTAGCATTATTTACCTTGCAGTCATCTTTCACAACTTGTGGTTCTTTGAATTCAGCAGCGTTATTTCCAATCAATTTAATTGTATTCAGTCGCGTGGTTTCCGCTGGGATATCGGATCTGTAATGAAATGTACATATAACCAGTGCACGATCCGTCATAAGTAAAGCAGAAGAAATAAAAGTACCTTTGAGGAGTTTTTGCACTAATGCAGAAATATGTAAAATTCTGCCTTGCTACATTTGATAACAGCCTTAAGAATCGAAGCTGAACAAAACCCGATCCCTCTGCTTCATATGATATCTGAAATTAGAACGTACAAGGTATATTTTGCAAACTTTTTTATGCTGAGTATTGTAAAACCAAAAACATAGTAATTTGTTATTAAATGGTCTAACAGTACTTTGGAATATGTAATTAAGTGTTCATGTCGGTGAGTAATTTTAGTCAAAAACAGTTTTATTCGAAGTAAATTTTTTTTATGATTTTTTAAGTTTTCGTCGGTCCCTGGTGATGTATCAACATTTTTAGAGTGGAGATATCCTTACCCGATATCCATTGTCAATTTGAGAGAATTTCTGCACAGTTTCATCCGTACTGTACGTATCTACAGTATCTCTCATGTCGGGATAGAGACAAGTGTTGTGACCTTTACAGTACACCTTGATTGGAAGCGAAGCTCCTCCACCACGGGCGTCTATCCAGTAGAATCCTATAGAGACATCACTATGTGATTCTAAGCTTCTTTGGCAAATGTTTAGGTAACATGTATGCAGCTCTAACCTTATATAATACTTGTGTTACTTACCATCACTAAAATTGGAATGAGCAGTTCGTAAATCTCGACAAGATAATGCTGGGTTAGTTCGTGTTCCTCGTGGTCGTCTTGCTGCATCCAATGATGTGTGAGCGGCTATCACACCGTTCATCACTTCTTGTACCCACTCGATTTCGTCTTCTATAATATTAATTGTAATTTAAAGTTTATTTTGAGTATAGTTTAAGGAGGAATAACGGTTCAGATAAAATTTGTATTAGTCGTAAAACGTCATGTTTACCTTCTTCAAAATTATCTTCAGTCGCCGTTTCCATAGATTCGTCAACGCTACGTCTTCGTCTGGTATAAGAGGTAAAAAGATCTGGTGGTATTTGCGGCGCTGGTGCCGGAGGACCAGGTGGACCAGGTGCACCTGGTGGACCGGGTTGACCTGATCTACCTTCTGGACCTGTGTTCCCTTTTGGCCCCATAGGACCGTCCAATCCCGGAGGTCCAATGGGACCTGTTTCTCCTTTAGGTCCAGGTGGACCTATGGGCCCCTGTAGATAGTTTTAAAAATAAGTTTTGATTTTTTTCCATAGTACTTTACATTATCATTGCGAAAATAAAGTCAATGAGAAGTTAAGATTATTCAAAAGGTTAATATTGCCGGTATGGAAAATGCGCTCCGTCATTTTGCGTAATGATGTATCTTACCACATCTCCTTTTGGCCCTGGTGGTCCTGCAGGGCCTGGAAGTCCTTGTTTACCGATATCTCCTTGATCTCCTTTTATTCCCATTGGCCCTGTGTCTCCTATATGACCTTTAGGACCCATAATTCCTTTTTCTCCTCTTGGGCCGGCAGGTCCGGGTGGACCCGCTTTTCCAGGTTGTCCCATAGGTCCTGTTAAGCCTGGGGCTCCAGCATCACCCTAAATTTAATAATTATAATTTATAGTTTGAAGATTTTTTAAAGTACATTTAATGAGTTTTTCCAAATTATGCATAGCCATACGTGCTTACATTAGGTCCAGGTGGGCCTCTGACTCCTCGCTGGCCATCGTCGCCTGGAGGACCAGGTTGTCCTGGAGGTCCTTGTTCTCCGGGTGCACCTTTTATACCAGTTTCCCCTTTCTCACCGGGCAAACCAGGGCTACCCTGAGCACCAGCCGGGCCATCCGAACCCTGAAGACGCAATTTTATATACATTTATTTTTTGTTACTAACTGACTTCAAAAAAGGAGGAGGTTCTCAATTCGACTGTATGTTTTTTTTGTATGTATGTTACGCGATAACCCCGGTATTTGTGAACCAATTTTCATGATTCTTTTTTTGTTGGAAAGAGGGTACCTCCATAGTGGTCCCATTTAATTTTGAAGAAAATCATCCACCTCTAAGGGTGGCTGTTCACGCATGAAGATTCATTTTTATAAATAGCGCCTAAATTTTAGTGTAACGAGCAATTATTTTAATGGTTGATTTTGCTATTCTGTAATTCAAGGCGTTTTTCTCACTTCTATATACTTTGAGTAGTGAGAACCAATTTTTGTTATCTCCTTTGTCAAGTGCCGTATAGTGGCGAACTAGGGGATGAAGCCGGGTTTGCGCACTTACCGGTAACCGATTTCAATAAAACTAGGTATTATATGTAATTGCACGTACTTTTGAAATCGGTTTTTTTAGTACTCTGTACTAAGATTATTTAGTATTAATATAAGAAGGAAGTTCAAATTTGTTAAGGATGCTAAAGAACGGATACTTGCCGGCTGACCAGGCATGCCGATTTCCCCCGGTTTTCCACTTGGTCCTACAGGACCAGGTGCTCCTGGTGGACCTGGGCTTCCTTCGGGTCCGTCTGCTCCCTGGTCACCTTTTATTCCTTGAAGTCCTGGCTCTCCTCTCTCTCCAGGGAAGCCAGCAGGGCCAGGATTTCCTTTTGGACCCTCTGGTCCAGTTGGTCCTTTTGGTCCTGGCTCTCCTTGTAATCCTACTGGTCCATCTTCTCCTTTGGGCCCTACTGGACCTCTTGGACCCTGAAATGATTTCATTCGTTTTGTTAAAATTTAAATCTTTATTATTCACATAGTATTTATTTTTTCAAGGTATATATATTATTATTATTAAATTTATTTAATTACCAATTTTCCTTCAGGTCCTTGAGGTCCCTGTAGTCCTGGCGCACCTGGGTTACCAACGTCTCCACGTTGACCTTCTGCACCACGAGGTCCTGGTTCTCCCGGAATGCCTTTTGGCCCTCTTCTACCTGGGAGTCCGCTGGGACCGACGGGACCCGGAGGACCTGAAGTAAGGCATGCTGTTACATCGCATAGAAGATGTGGTAACTTTGTTAACAAATTCTCCTGGCCAGGAGATAAATAAAATTAGAAGACTTAATTAACGGAGAATAAAATTAGAAGGCTTAATTTTATTTCAATAAATAGTGAAAAGTTTGTTACCCGTTGGTCCCACATCACCCGTATCCCCCTTTACCCCTTGTTGTCCTTTTTCTCCTTGTGGACCAGTAGAGCCTGCAGGTCCTGGTGGACCACGTACTCCGTCTGTACCTCGAGGACCTGGTGGTCCCGGATCTCCTTGCGGACCTTTGTCACCTGGCAGACCTACTGATCCAGGTTCTCCTCTTAGTCCTTGAATACCCGTGGAACCTGGTGGTCCCTAAAATACATTTCAAGCTCAGAATTGGTGAACAGGGATTATTTTTTGATTTGTGTGTAAAAATTTATATAAATACGTATAACTTACTGGTTCTCCCATTGCACCCTTAAATCCTTTTTCGCCAGGGGGACCAGCTTCTCCCTTATCGCCATCTTCACCTGGAGGTCCAATCGGTCCAGGGGCGCCCGGAAGTCCTCTAGGACCAGTTAGACCGTCCCGACCGATAGGTCCTTTAAATAAAATAGGTAGGTACGCATTTTAAGTTCATTGCCCACGCTTCAATGTGTTTTTGTACAAAATATTTGAAGTACTTACCGAGAGGTCCAGGCTCTCCAATTTCTCCTTTTTGGCCTCCTGGCCCAGGAAATCCTCGTGGCCCTTCACGACCTTGGGGGCCTTGTGGTCCTTCATTTCCAGGTTCACCTTGTTCTCCTTTATCACCCCTTACGCCTGGTGGTCCGATTGGCCCTATATCACCTTTCGTTCCGGGTGTGCCCTAGATATGTTGAAAAAAATCTATGTAAATCTAGTATCTATAAGAAATTGTTTATTTAATTTCAATTCCTTTATTGATGCTTACAGCTGGTCCTGGTAGCCCAGGATCTCCTCGCAAACCAGGAGGCCCAGAAGAACCAACAGGGCCTGGTTTTCCTTCTGGGCCTGGAGGTCCCGGAGGCCCTTCTTTACCAACTTCACCAGGAGCTCCAATTTCGCCAGGCGTTCCTGGTGTGCCTGATGAACCTTGGGGACCAGGTTGTCCTGGGTCCCCTGGAGGCCCTTGGGGGCCTGTAGGTCCCGTAGGACCTGCTGGTCCTGGCGCGCCGGATTCACCCTTGGATATAAAAACGTAATAATATAATATCGTACATCGTATTTTTATAAAGTTTGGTAATCTTTACTGTATTAAAGGTTTATAAAACGAAAGGGTTAATCACCGTTGGTCCCCGTTCTCCTGGTGGTCCAGGCATACCAGGTTTACCATCAGATCCTGGAGGGCCTATAGCTCCTGGAAATCCTCGGACACCTTCGATACCTTGCGGTCCTCGTTCACCGATTGGGCCCGGCGAGCCCGGCTGCCCTGTATCCCCTTTAGGACCAGGAGCACCATCCGAACCGCGGCGACCCCGTGGACCTCTGTATCCCTGTATATTAAATGTTAGGTTAATTTTTGCTTTACACAACAAGCTATTAATTTTGGTATTAATCTTCTGTACTACTAACCCTTGGCCCAGTTTCTCCTCGGTCACCAGGATTACCCACAAGTCCCTGTGTAAAAATATAATAACAGTTATATGAATTGTACAATCAATACATACATATCTTATTTAGAAAAGGCATCCTTCTATTATTACCATGACTCCTTTTATTCCTCGTCTACCTCGTCTTCCTGAAGCGCCTTTGTCTCCTTTTTCTCCCTGTGCTCCGGGATAACCCATTGGTCCTAATGGACCAGTAGCTCCTTTTTCTCCCGCTGGTCCAATAGATCCTGTCTCTCCTCGGGGACCTTCTGCACCCTGAATGGATAAGGAGGTTATTATAAGCGAATGACTTTTTAGTTTTTTCATATACTAACTTGACCGAAACAGAAGGAATGGTTAATAAACCCTACTTTTTGTCCTTCCGGTCCTTCAATTCCGGGTGGTCCAGGTTCGCCAGGTAAACCACGATCGCCTTTTGGTCCAGATTCTCCCTTTTCTCCCTCAATGCCTGCGAACGAGTATTAAAAAATAAGTACCGTATTCTTTTGTACACTCTCACTAATTATATTCTTATATTTTCCTGATATTATTTCTAAACCATAAAATGCTATGTAAATGTCATTTAGTATAATTTTTCGAAAATAATATTGATTTTTGGTAGCAGTAGTACTCGTAATATTATTACCTCTTATTCCTTTGTCTCCTTTATCCCCTGGGAGGCCCCTGGGACCGTCGTCTCCTTTCAAGCCGCGAGGGCCAGGGAAACCAAGCATTCCCTTTAAAGAGAAATGAAAAACTTGTTTGTTCCAGACGACTACAAATATTATTACAAATTCAATTTTATTAGTTGTTTTAGATTATTCTGCCCTCGGAACGTAAAAAGGCACAACTGTTGTATAAAGAATGCATAGTTGTGCTTTTTTTCATTACGAGGGCAGTATTATTGAGCCTTATTTACCTGTGGTCCTTGGGGTCCAGCCTCACCGGCCACACCCTGTTGTCCTGGATTCCCGGGTGTCCCCGGAAGGCCTTCTGGTCCAGGTAGTCCAAATATTCCCTGTTTGCCTTGTGGACCCTATGAACAAAAATAATGTTATTGTTTTTAGTAGGTATACTTCATTGAATCCAATATTGTTCACCTTTCGGTCGAATGTACTACCTGAACACCTGAGGCTCCAATTGGTCCTTGTGGCCCTGGGGAGCCCATTGGGCCCATTGGGCCGGGTTGTCCTACCGGTCCTGGTGGGCCAGGTTGGCCAGAAGCTCCCTTAGCACCTTGAAGACCTTCGTTACCGGGAATTCCTGGGTAACCAATCAAACCAGGAAATCCTCTCGGTCCCATGAACCCTCGTGGACCCTAAAATGCAAGTTATGAGTTAGTTATCTTCATCATGTGCATATATTGCGTTTTGTACGTAAGGCATGCAAATAGCAGTACATACAGGGTGTAATAATATATTAAAGGTCTAGTTATATTTTAAGGTCATATTCAGGGGTATTAAACACAACAAGTTATTTAACGTCCTATTATTGTCATTTATGGAAATTCCAGGTCGTTACATTTTAATTAGCTGTTCACTCATTACTGCATGCATAATACTGCTTTAGTTCGACGTCAGAACCATGATAAGCAATAGCCTAATTTTAATTGTATAATTAATAGTCATTAATGAATTGTCATTCACTTTCTAAGGGTCCTCCTTGCTTTATCTTTTTTATACCATTCTATTATGGTTTTGGTTTTTGAATTTTTTTTATTTATTCACCAACCAGTTACTGCAATATTTAATGTAGATATTAATATATTTGAACCTTATGAAAAAAATAAAGAGGTTTTTAAAAAAAACCAAAAGTACAATAACAAAAATAATTTTAAGACAAAAAAGAAATAACATAGGAAGATTTTTTTTTAAGTAGAATACTGAACATGATTCAGATACTAAAAATAATAAACAATGCTAACGAACCAAGACAATTAAGAATTTTTTTTTTGAAACAGCGGTGAGTCAACGAAAATATCCGCATGTTTGGAGCAGTCATTATATAAATTAGACATACGAGTTACGGGAGAAAGGATATCATTCAAAGATATCATAATTAGTAGAAAATATTTAGTAATGTAAACATATCTTGTAGAAGATAAAAATTATTTTGCATTGCTCGTGGTAATGCATCGCAGTGCCGCGTGGCATCGCTGTGCCAATGCACACATGCCACAATTGGTATTGTGTATAATGGAACATTTATCACCTACGTTACCTAGTCAAAAGTCTATGCGGTAATTGCCACTAACTTTAAACAAAAAAACTTTTTAAAATACTATAATGTCTTAAAAGCAATATTTTAGCGCGTATTTTAAGAATAGGCGGGAATGTTTCAAGTTTATATTTCATGAAAAACGTTCGGAACTGGTGAATCGTAAATGTCGTTTTTTATTATGATAAAGCCAAACCACGTACATTTTTGCACGGCTTGAAAGATAGCAAAGATTGTAGATCAACTTGGCTAATACGTAAGTGGTTAAAGTTTATTTCCTTAAATGTTTTATCCTTCATACTTTGATACCGCGCGCATATTGAAATATACGTACATAACCTAGGTACATTAAAATTGTATATATTACGCGTATATAACGACAATCTGGGTTGGCAATAAATGAATATTACGTAATAAAAGTTTTAAATAGGTTAGTGTTGGTAAATTGGCAGTATTTTGATTTTTGGGAATAGTTCCTGCGCTTTATTCATGCTTTACGTGTCTGGATATGAATGGGTTTTTTATGAATGAATTAATTAATGTAAGTGTAAGGTTCACAATACGGCTGTGATATCTCAGATATCTCGATTTAGAAATTAAGAAATTCAAAGTTTAATTAAATTTGTGTCAATTTTTAAGTATCTACATCAGGTTTCAGGTCTAAAGTTCAAGTAAGTACATGTTTGAGTTCTTTTGATGAGCCTTTCTTTTCTGTTACACCCTGTATAATACCTAATGATTTAATAAATACCAATTCGCCGGCTAAGCCAGGTGGTCCAGGCGGTCCATCGTCTCCAGGTGGACCATCTTGACCTGGTGGGCCAGGTTCTCCTTGAAGTCCCAGTGAACCTCGTTCTCCTTTGTCTCCAGGTATTCCTGGCAACCCTGGATACCCAGTTTCTCCTTTAGGCCCTGGAGCACCCGTGCTACCGCGTTCGCCGTCCCTGCCCGCATGGCCTCGGCGTCCCATTCTTCCTGGCGGTCCTTGTAGTCCTCTAGGACCAGGCCCTCCCTGTGTACAGTAATGATAACTGATGTACAGTAATACGTCCAGTAATGATAAACAATCCCTTCATATTTTTTTTTTTTTTTTTTTTTTTACACACACTCAACATAGCCCCGCACTAGGGAAACCCTGTGTCGCGGGTGCCATGGACACACATATAGACAACCACAAATTACACCCAAACTCACGAGAGAAACAAATGTAGGTCATACAAATATTTCTCCCGGCCCGGGAATCGAACCTGGGACCTCTGCGTGGCAGTCCGGCATGGTAACCGTTCGGCCACAGAGGCAGTTAATTATTATTACAAGTAACTAAGGACACATTTCCACCGGCGAGGTGAGATGAGAATTGAAATCTCGCCAGTCTATTTGCACCAAAAATTGCCATGAATAGCTATCGAGAATTCTCGTTTGATATTAGTAGCTATCGAGAGCTATCGTGTTCTTGCGCGAGATCATACTATGGTTGTTGATAAGAAGATTCAGTGCTGTTCAGTTCGTTTAGCGATAAACACGCAGTTAAAGTAACATGTCCCGTAAATTATTATTATTATTATTATTATTAAATATGTTAACGGAAGAAGAATCAGATAAACCCATCTTTTTAAATCTCAAATAGTACATAACCCACAACCTCGCGATTAATATTGATAGCCTTCGCGAGCTCGCGCGAGAAATCGTGTTTCCGTAACAGAGTTTATAAATGCTATATGCAGGCAGTAATACGGTTCAATATTACATCAACAAATACTTCAATTCTCGCCTCGCATTTCCTCGTTAATCCAGACTATTTCAACCGAAAATGTGCTAGGCTCTCCTAGCACATTTTCGGTGGAACTGGTCGGTGGAATTGAAATTTTGAATTTTCGAATTGAAAAATTGAAAACATACACATTTCAATCCTTGACTCGTTTCGCCTCGCCGGTGAAAACTCACCTTTTCGTTTTTCGTTTCGTTTTCGAAAATGTACTTAGAAGGTAATTAAATAAATTCAATTTACGATTTAAGTTGATTCTTTTAAAAGTGTGTACTTAATCGCTAAATACTTCTTCGAGGGAAGAGTTGTTATGCAACAGTTTTTTGTATGTATTCAGTTTCAATTTACTTGAACAAAAATAGATATATTTTCGTACCGGTTCGCCCTGTTCACCTTGTTCACCTTTGGGACCTTCGGGACCTATTTCGCCTTCCGGGCCGGAGGGCCCTGTCAGTCCCATTGGTCCTTCTACTCCTCTCATTGCCGCCTGTCAAAAAATTTACATTACCAATCACTTAGGATACAAGAAAAATAAAATGAAAGAATACTTTTAACTAACCATATGTTGCGATAACATTTGACGAAGTGCTTCGGATTGAGCGTCTGGTCCTTTGTCATTTCCTGATTGTTGTAGCTGAAACAACGTTATTGTAGTTCAAAGTTTGATTATTTTAATGACGACGTACGTTATGTAGTGCTTTAGCTAGGTAATCAAGATATTATACTCCTCCACAGAACAAACAGGCAACATGATATGGTTAACTCGTATTTGAAGTTACCAATCGAGATCCTAATTTGAAATTTACAGTGCAAATAATTTACCGGCACAACGAAAACATGTCCAGGTGGTCCTTGAAATCCTTGTAATCCTTCTGCTCCGGGTCTGCCCGGTTCTCCTTTTGGTCCTCTAGGTCCCTGTGGACCGGGTGGACCTGGGTATCCTCTAGGACCCGTATAGGGCAAAGTTATTCCATAATCGTAGTAACCGTCCCAAGAACCTTGTGATGAATTACCCTGCAATCATAACGACAATGGCTTATAGTACCACGGACAAACTAAATTTATTATTAAAAAAATCATAATAAAACTCAAATTGCGTGGGCGTTTTTAAAATCGATATTCGATAAAAATTTGTACAAATACCACCGATGTTTATTGTATTTTTACATCTCATATATACGGTATAAGACATACCCTCATAATTTTATATATAATTACAAATTTTAATGCTTCCACAATTTCATTTGCTTTTTTTTTAGGCGCGTTGGACTTATCTCTACCATAATAAAACGTTTTCACAAAAGGGCTTAATAAATCATTCAAGGTATCTTACATATCCGTACGGAGGGTGTGTGAGCCAATCGTCGTCCTCGGTGGTCGTAATCGCCGTATAAGAGGATTCTGTGGTTGTGAGCGTGACAATTTCCGTCTCCTCCTCGTCGCGTTTAAGCTGTAAAATTTAACGGTTGCGGAAAGAAATCCCAAACGGATGTTTATTTCACGGATATTGTGCAGGAAGTTTCGTATTTTTCAGAAGATAACGTAAACCCTACATTAAACGTTTTGAAATTACCCTTTGTGTAGACACTTCGATGTGTTCAGGTTCAGGTGACGTTGTGTGTATGATGTTAGGTGTTGTAATTGTTTCAATTCCTTCTGTAAATGTTCCAAAGATGCTGTTTTCATCTGCGTGCAAAGAAATAAAGGTAAATTAAAAATTTATGTTCTACGATTACATACGTATTACGTATATAAGTTACCTGAGTCAGTTGAAGAAGGATGTTGTCCAGTGACTGCATAGGAGTTTGTAATCTGCCAATCAGGGCGTATAGTTGTAAGACCTCTAATTGCAGCGGCCGCTAAGTTATCTGTCCGGTTTCGTGTATTGTAGAACCTTCTACCGAGCTGCTGCCTCCTTCTATCACCATTTGCGTTTAGCGTGTACAGATTCCTGTGTGTTGTAGTCTCGTAATTTTGTCGGCCAGGTTGTCTTTCTGTTGTTCTTCTAACGTCAGTCGAAGCTTCTTTGTTTCTTTCTCTTGCAACAACATTAGCAGCAATGCCAGAGACATATCCCGATCTGGAACCGTATCCGGTGCCAGTGCAGTTGGGTGCAATTGAAATACACATGTCGTATGCTGCATCGGGCTTGTTGGCAAATTGAAGCAGTTCGATATCACCCTGGACAAAAAAATATTGTCAGATATTTCCCTAGTTTTTGTTGTTATAATTGTACAGGTATCTCAATATTTGTGTAGACCATGCTGGCACTTACTTCATAATATTGATCAGGCGTCACTTGTACTCCGACCACAAGTGCGCCTGCTAAATTAAACGTACTGCCTGGCTGACGGTTGAGCTTCAGAGTACCTCTCACTTCACAATCTACCAGCAAAGTCACTGAATCGCCTTTAACACTGACTGCTAATCGATGCCAACTGTGAAAGTACAGGAGTGAGGTTAAAATTGTCTCTACTGATATATACATTCAATATAAAATACATCAACGAGAATTTATGCCTACTCTTTATGTATCTACTTGAAACACGAATCGTCCACACCAAACACTTGCTTGAACAAACCAAACAGCCCGATGTATTTCCGTAATTGGTTTCCATTACCAATTTAGGACCAAATGCGTACTTCACTCGTCTAGTGTAGTGTAGCGTAGGTATAGTGTTATTAACTGTGATGGCACTTGTATCCGCAACGAGGTCATCGGGATTCCGCGTTGATGACATGGTACTCGATAACGATTAGACTGTCGGTTTTAATGGGATATACAGATCGAAACAAGGGCTCCGTTGATTGGCAGGAAAACATGACCGAAGACCTAAGCTTCTATCGGAAATGGTTGTAGGTTTGATTGCCAGTATTACCACAATTTCTATGCTTTGTGATTCTCACTTTATTTTAGTATTAGGTACATATATATTTTTGGCGGTTGTCTACAGATATTTGCATTACAAAGGTAGTAATCCTTTGATTGCGCTGGTTCTGTCGACCTTTGTATCTACCCAGTAGCGTTTTGTACCTACAGAGCACTCTATCACGATTTGATAAAAAAAATATTATTTAAAATATATACCTTCAGTAGTTATATTGCTTAGCCTTGGTACTTACAGGCTAGAACATAAATTTAAACCAAGTAAATGGAAGCCGATAGGAGTTAAGGTGTTTTGTGTGCTTGAACGCGTGCTGTGATAAAACTAAACGGTACAATAAGGATGAACAAGAATTGGATCCTATTATATATTGTCAGCGAGCGATCAGTCAGCGAGCAGTCGTATTAAATGTGCATTTTACACCTAAAACTTTTCAAACAATTATATTATACTCCCAGACGTAGATACCTACTCTGATGGGTCTTATAACGGATATACTTCCTAACAGTCTATACTACCTCAGTTCGAATTAAAGTTTTTCCCGTAGTATTACGGTTCATTTTGCTTGGGTCCAGCGGTAGGGAAACTGGAGTTATTTCAGGATTTCTTTTTTACAAACGAAATTATAGCCATTTGAAAAATGTATATCGTATACTATACGTGTGCTGTTTAGTTCAGTTGATATAAAAACAAATCATTGGTATATGTAAAGTACCTGCTGAATACAGCGGTTTTCTTGTAAAATTTCAAGGTAAGTTTGTGATTTTTTCTATCGTGAAAAGTTTTAGGAATCGTGATCGAAACACCTTATAGTAATCAGTGAAAATTCTCAATTTTACTCATTGACTTACAATTATATGGACGTCGGGTCCGCGCTAAAAAGTGTCCGCACTTGTAAGGCGCTAAAATCGTATACAGAGCGCGACACTCCGCTTTAGTCTTCATTTGTTCTACTGACAGCGCGATACTGCGATGGCATAACAATTTAAATTTCGAATAGGTTGACTTGGGACATTTTTTTCGTGGTTTTTGTATGAGACCCGTCGTCCATTTATTTGTAAGTCAATGATTTTACTATATATTTTTTCCAAAGCGATTGATTCAACACTTTCACTATTATGCGGAATCAACCAAAGCCATTTGACTAGTAAGATTGATACAAAATAAGGACAAAAAAATGGAGCCTAGAGAATTAATACTTACTTTCCATCAGCGATGTTAACCCTAAAGGTGAGAAGCTCGTTGTCCGGAGGGTCACCCCGGGTGTCCTCATAGTATAACTCAATCAGCTGACCGGCTACCAGTTGCAACTGCTCGTCGCCAGCGTCGGAGTATAAGACAAAGACTGGGTTCTGAGTTGTGTCTGTGTAAAGAAAATGAACATGTTGAGGAAGGAAGTCTCAAGGAGGACTACAAGATAAAAGCTAAAATTAGAGACTAAATAATAATAATATTTTTTGTGTCGCTTTCAGCACAAAGAACAAAGCTGTCCTACTCGATACAACACTTATTGTTCGCCGGTTGTTGAACTTGAGTCCCTGACCCCGGCCGACTGTGCCATTCAAAATTCCCATTTAAAAATCCAAAATGAATCTTTTATTGTTATTAATACTAATCATTCGAATGGGCAAATCATTCGTCTAAGTCGAATCCAAGCGAGTCGATCGAATCGATTATTATGTCGGAACTACTCGTTCCATTCCAACCATTCACCATGTCAAATGTCCATATCAAAATATCCCGGTTCCCGTCACCTTTACGGTATTTACGATATCGATGCCTTATTTTCTCAAACACGTATCTTATAAGGAGTGATTATTCAGGAGATGGCAAAAAATTCTATATATTTTAAATTTCTTATAAAGGATGTTAATTTTGATGCAATACTTTAAGAATAGGTAAAAGCCAGTGTGTGAATATGAAGGAAATTTGATGTGAAATCAGCTTGCAAATGTATAAGTATACAACACATTTTTTGTATTTCAGTTACTTTGTTTTTTAGATACGAGTTTGAGAAAGTAAGGCGACGATATGTCAGAGTCGGCTAGGCAGAAATGTTCTATGGAATCCATGGATTAGTAATGAATAATCATTCAGATAATTTGAATACGAAAATTAGTAGATTATAATTTCTCAGTCGAATGACAGGATTAGTAATACTTACTAAGGGCTTTTACACATAAACACGATACGACGTCGCGTGGTGTTACGACGCAATATAATGTAAGGACGTCCCTAAGGAAGCCCTAAGGACGTCCGCGACGTCTAACCGTGTTTATATGTAAGAGCCTATATAAACACGGTACGACGTCGCGTCGTGATACGACGTATCGTGTTTATGTGTAAGAGTCCTTACGAGTCGAATATCGAAGTCATTCGCAATCGCTAAGGCGAGCGTCTAAAATAGAGAATACAAATATTAATTTAACTTTTTTTTATAGAAGACAAGCCTTCTGTCGGAGAGGACATTCTTGCGAAGAACAGAATCTGTGTAATGAGATTACTGATTGTTTGCATAAAATTTAAAGACAAAATTCACGCAAATCACTTGTTAGGTGGTAAAATGCATTGAAGTACACCTTGATTTAGGCGTGGTAAACACCCGGCTTGTATTTAAGTTTGCTTTTAATATGTCACTATCAAATACTCACTCCATAAGTAGAATAGACAGTATAATAAATTTAATTACATCACGGGTTCTTGAGGGCACGCCAATAATATATACATAATTTACTTTTACTGCCTCTGTGACCGAACGGTTACCATGCCGTACAGTCACGCAGCGGTTCCAGGTTCGATTCCCGGGCCGGGAGAAATATTTGTATGGTCTACATTTATTTCTCTCATGAGTTGGGGTGTAGTTTATGGTTGTCTGAGAGTAAGTGTGTCCATGGCACCCGCGACTCAGGGTTTCCGGAGTTTCCCTAGTGCGTTCCCTATGTTGAGCGTGTGCGTTACTATTATTATATATATATTATATATATAATATATATTCACATAATCTGTAGGTATATAAGAAAGCTTGCAGCTTTAACTAGCTTCTATTTATTACCTAATTATTAAAATATGTATTATTTACATTGCAGTAAAATATTCGTAATAACATTGTTTTTTATATTCTATTTAATTAGATATTTGTTTATTCATTGGTATGTTTAATTTTAATATGTATTTGCGATAACTTTGTGTAAATATTTGAATTTCGACTGAATAAAAAATAGGTGCTATCCAAGTCCTATATAAGTATAGACTTCTTAATCCATTTTCTTCGCTTTAATTTCTGTTTTAGAATGGTCTTTGACAATTTATACGTGGTTTCAAATCGCCTCACTTAACGTACCGTACGTATTGGTAGCAGTAGAGCTCCTTGTGAAAGAGTCCACCAGGGTAGTACTGCCACCTTACCTATTTCTGCCGCCAAGCTATTGCTTGTCAGCATTACTGTGTTCCAGTTTTGAAGGGTAAGGGTGCTGATGAAGTTACAGGCGCATGGGAATTGTCAACTTATGTCTCAGGGTGACTGGCTCATTGGCAGTGCCCTTCAGATCTTTGCGATTTAACTGTGAGTTGCACTGTAATTGTTATGGATAGACGTGTAGCTTACCACCAGGCGTATGACCTTTTCGTCCCGACACTTAATATCATTAAAAAAACCTACTTTGCGGATAGGTAAATAAATAAATGTTCAGACAACATCACATACGTTGCCCTGATCCCAAAGTAAGTAACTAAAGCACTTGTGTTATGGAAATCGGAAACAACGACGGTATCACATGCTTCCAGACCCGAGATAATATCTGCTTTCTTATCATAAGTAACGAAATCGCCATTTTTAGCGAATTTGCGTTATTAACATTAGAAACAGAGAGACGATGTATACAATCCCGTGTAATCGTTTTTTAGGTATATCTTATTTAGTTTTAGTTTTATTGTTAAAATTAAAGAAAATACATTTATTGTTAGCAAAAAATCATTATTGTAAATATCTCGGAAGTTACCAAAATACAAATGCGTTAGTTATGATAAGGAGGGCCTAAGAGATCTGCCGTTCAGTAAATGCGGCAAGTGACAAGTATGTACATCCGTTTTAAATAGCATAAGACAGAGCTCAAAATTTAAATACAGTCAAAGTAACTAAGTTTGAGTCCGGTATATCGGAACTTACCCTAATGATGCATAGTTAAATATCACTAAACAATCTCAATATACTAAAACTGATTTATGTCTTTTTTATGATATCTCAAAAAACGATTTTGTCACAGTCGGGTGTTAGTTAGCAGGCAACAGAGAAATCTTTTTCAAATGAAAAGGTTATCTTTTTTTAGTAGTTTATTTTTAGCGTAACGACGAATTGTTTACATTATCATCCCATTACTAGGGTAATGGGATTATTATTTTACCATTAAACATCAAGCGAGAATTTATGTTTATGATTTCGGCATCTGAAACTAGTATTATCTCGTTCACTCGTCACTAGTGTTAAATGGACCTACTTACCGATAACATTTTGTTTAATATTATATGTATAATGATATATAAACGAGGGAAATCTGTCATTAGCTTTACTCTTTGCCTATATATAGCTTAGCCTATATACTATGTAAAATATTTTATGTAACGCCGTTGGTTTTCTTAATAAATAAATAAAAAAGTACCTACCTCAGACATGGCGACACTATGAAACCACTTGTGTGCAAGCCATTCGATCACGGAGGTAATCAAAAGTAAATAAGTAACCCAACCGCAGCTACCGCAGCAAAGAATACGCAATTAAGTTAGACTTGGAAGAGAAATTAACTTCACCAACAATAATCACGAACGAGAGGCGTAAATAAATTTAATGGAATATACATCACTAGATGCAGTAGAGATACTTAAATCAACAATTCTGGTCCATTTATAAGCGTTAATTAAAATAGATATAAACGAATTGAAGCTCGGCACACTTTATGACATATCATGATGGATGGCATACGCAATTCAATGAGAGACCATTCTCTATTTCACGTCCCAAATGGCTTCGCTTTAAATAATTTACAATTGACTGAACCTTTTTAAATCATGACCAATTTTTTTAACATTTTTGAACAGTTTACTGTTCATTTTACAACATACAGTTAACTTTCGGTTGAAAAATTATTAAGCAACTCTGATATGTGTGATGACTTGCGATCACATATTTAGCCGTTTATAAGACACCGGACACCATATAAGTACGTGTATATTTTTTTATTATATCTAGTGATGGGACGAACAAGTCGTGCGCCTGGTGTTAAGCGATACGCCTGTCCTATTAGTTGCAGTGCTAGTCAAATCGCATAGATCTGAGGGCCACTGCGCCTGTCGCCCTGTAACATAAGTTGACAAGCTCCGTGTGCCTGTAATTTCATCAACACCCCTAGTCTTCAAAATAGGAACGCAGATGTGCTCACATTACTGCTTGGCAGTAGAAATAGGTGGCAGTAAACCCTGGATGAACTGTATCACAAATAGTCTACTACTATTGAATATACGCTTTAAACTTTTGCGTTGTCTTTTTTTTAATAAAGCCACATGCGATCTTACGTTAAATGTGCTTTTATCATACGTAAGTCATAGAAATTATAACTGTATGAAACAACTTATGTATTTTAAGCATAAAAAGTTATCGACTTATAATTTCTTTCGTAGAATCTTTGAACAAAAAGTTGTCATTTTGCAGATATGGTCTTATTACACCAAGACGGTGCGATTACATTACAAATGGGGATGTAACAATTTAGTGTGTAATTTAATTTATTATGCAAATACTTCTTAAATTGTTTCGTCGTGCTTATTCCCATCTTGTAACGGTAATATTTAAATATACACAAATAACCTATAAAATATTTATTCGCCGCCTATACAAAAAAAATATCTACAAGGAAAAACTGCCGGCGAGGATATTATACATATATCTATTTGTCCTTTTTTATGTTATCCAATACCGCGGGAACAGCACGGAAATAAAAATATCCAGCGAAACTAAATCGAAAGTCGCGGTAGCCTAACGGTTTGACCTACCTAATACCTTTCATGCAAAGGTAGCGGGTTCCAATCCGGGCTCAAACCTATGAGTTTTCAGAATTCGTGTGCGAAATTTTATTTGGAATTTACCATAAGCTTTTTGGTGAAGAAAACCATCTGAAACCTGTACGTCGAAGAAGGAAAATGCGTGAAGTCGCCAACTCGCATTAGGCCAGCGTGGTGGACTGTGGCCCGAATCCTCGCCTGAGAGGAGACCCGTGCCCAGCAGTAAAATGATTAATTTGAACTTTTGTGTGGGTACTTTTATTTAATTAAAGGATGTTTTATAGGTTTAGTAAATATCGTTTAAAGGAAGAAGGTCCGGACTCAATTTATAGATCTCCCCAACGTTCTGTGATTTGTTTGCTACCTTAAGTCTGAGAACGCGATTAACAGTAAGATTGAGTTGAATAAGTTTCTGTAATTAATTTAAACGGATTTAAATCTAGTGACTTCGATGGGCATAAGGCTGCTAACAGATTGACTGTATGTTTGCAGTTAATACATGAAGTTATAATCAACTTCATACAGCCAAGACCTCGACTGCATGAAGTTGATAACCACTTACATTAATTGCATCATCTTTCATGCGAAACTGTGTGCGCTTTTATAATAAAATACCAGGTGAAGTACTGAACCCAACTGTCAGAGAAGAAAATTAAAAACTATATTAAAATGCGCTGTTAAATAAGAGCTACTACAGTGTTATTGATTATAATAAAGATGCTTGGAATTCATCTCTAGCGGGCACTTGACGTACCTATTTAACACTTACAACAGTAATGATAATGTTTAAGTGTAAGTGGATACAGCCTTAAATTTTTAAAAAAGAAAGATACAGCCTTAAATTCTTATAAAAGACTTGCCTATTGACTTGCTTGACTTGAGAAGTGTGAAATTATTTTATTCTATTTTTTATTTACTATTTAACAAAAAACAAAGAGTGATTGTTGTTGTCATTGTAATCAGTTTGAGGATTTTAAGTGTAATTTGTTTACTTACGATATAAAAATATTTTGACTTTGAGTTAGTTCTTCACTACACCAATGAATACTCCATATGCATGTTGGATGTAAAGAATGTTTTATTGTTAATATTAGACGTTTTAAAGTGACTATTTTAATATAGAACAAATTAGCCTCGACTTTGCCTTCATTCCAGCCACCCAAAGACAATATATTTTTATAGTTTATTCTAGTTATATTTAGGCTTCGGTTTTAGTTCATGACCAATAGTATAACAATTATAATGGCTGTTTATCAATAGACCATAATTATCATCAACAAAATATTATTCGTCCCACTGCTGGGTACAGATTTTCTCTTAGGACAATGTTTGGGTTCATTCATCATCATGGCTGTGAACTTCGTACGTTTTCCAAGAGTTCTTTGACTTCTTCGATACGATGGTTTCCTTTACCGTTAGATACAGGTATTGTAGGCAATATGAACTATCTCAAAGAATAAATCATCGAACATTTCGTAGATTTCAATTTTAAAATTGAAACTTAATTAAAACCAAAATCCAAATTTGAAACAAGACGTAAATATTGAAAAATAGTCGTTAAAACCTAAAACATACTCTGAAAAATCTACTAAATTTTGCTTAGGCCCTTTCTCCAAAACACCGACGATTTGGAGAAAGGGCCTAAGCAAAATTGTCCGCATTGTCTTTAAATCAGTTTGTAATTAATGGATTTCTGTCACTCGTACATCGTGGGCGAAATAATTCGCGTAAAGCATGTACTGAAAGATTGACTCTTCTCTTCAACCATCGAATTAAATAGAAAAACATCAATCTTACAATTATTAAAGATCGAGACACTTGGAAGAGTTTGGACTAAGTTATTATGCTTGCTCTGGATACTGACACTGTATAATATTATTATAGTCCGCACTATATTAAGAAAAATAATTCATTATAAGAAATAACTAAATTCAATACCTATTACGCAAGAAGAAACTGGAAATATGTTTCACCTGCATTAATGAATAAAATGAAGAATTTATCTGTAATTATCAAAACGACTTTTTTAAACTGAAGATCTAAACTTTATTTTGTAATTTGTTATTGTATAAATATGCAAATTAGTATTTTTATCCCTTATCTGTTTTATCGTAATTAAGTTAGTTTTGGGTGTAACATTATCATGTTTCCAGTAGACACCAATTCTTTTTATTTATTATATTTTTTCTTAAATTTGTTCTCCTAAACCCTCGCCTGAGAGGAGACCCGTGCCCACCAGTAGAACGTGTAAAAATTTTTGGTCAATAATAATATTGGTATTGGTATTGGTGCAACGGGCTAGTTTCCGCAACTCGACGTCGAGGCGCCTATTTTGCGTGTATCAATAAT